CTGCTGAGAGCAGGTGGCTTTGGGTGGGTGCAGAAAAGTCTGTCATCAAGACACGAATGCCAGGTTTTCAGGGACTGTAACTGAAGTTTGGCTAATCGGTGTTCTCCTGCTGCTGTCTCAGGTGACCGTCACCGGCAAGGTGTGCCCACACAGTGGGCCGGGGAAGTCCGTGTTTGTGATGGAGACCAGGGAGGCCGACGCCCCCGCCACCGTGCTGTGTTCAGTTGAGGAGCTGGCGCTGGCCCATTACAGATGCGACGGCTTTGACCAGGGTAAACCGAGCAACATTTCCCCGTCCCACTCCAGCCACCCTGTGGTGAGCAGCCTTGCAGAATCGCCAGTCAGTCGTGGATGGCTGACGTCCCCCAGTCTTCTGCCCATGGTAGAAGACACTGCTGGCCAGGAGGGTGTGGGAGAAGAATTTTACTAACTGTGGTTTTAAAGGTGGTCTCCTTCCACTCAGTATTTACCCCCTGGTGCCTGTAAGAAACCATGCTCTGTGGGGTGTTAGACACGGGTAAGACAGTTCTGCTGTCAGAAGCCTATACTGACCAGGGGAGCATAAGAAAGGCAGGAGACTGGCAGAGAGGCTGACTGTTAACTGGACCTGCTGGGGAAGACAGAGCCAGAGGGCTGGGCAGGGGAGTGCCAGGCCGTTTCTCACGGGAATGAGCCGGCTGTGCACTCAGGTAACAACTTTAAGTGCACTGAAGTACCAACTTCTGGGATGGCATCATGCCAATGGAACCAGAGAAGTTACTACAAACAGCAGTGATTTGAGCTTCTTTTAAAATGAGCTTTCTCTGTCTTACATAAGTCAGTAAGAATCCGAGCTTTCCCCATCTTCCTTTCTAATAAGTGTGCTGTGGTCACACTGCTCCTTGTGCCACTCCCTGTCTTGGGAATTGAAAGACTGTCTGCAAAGGAAAATGATGCCACCTTTGATGAAAAACGAAGTCAAGAAGAGAAAAACCCCACTTGTTCCCACTAGGCTTCTCTTCTCTTCTGCCTTTCCCTTTCTTTGGTCTCTTTTGTGTTGATGGAAGAGGGCAGTGTAGGGCTGTATTGTGCAGGGGGTGAGCAGTCCCGTGCCTCTCATGCTTCAGCCTGACTTTGTGTTCCTGAGGCTGCTGACGAGATAGTTTTTATTTTTGTAAACCATAAGAAGTGTAGTGAGGCCAGAGTCAAGGTTGTCTCAGTTCTATTTTCAAAGGAAGATAATCTGGGCGACTAGGCGTCCTTTTGTTTTGGACAAGGGTTTCATTCAGAGACTATTTTGTGAAATGTTTAGAGCCCAAGTCAGAATGAATTCTGCCAAATTCCAAGCACATTGTCTTAGTTATCTAGTGCTGCTATAACACATACCACAAGTGGATGGCTTTCACTAAGAGAAATTTATTCTCTCACAGTCTAGGAGGCTAGAAGTCTGAATTCAGGGTGCCAGTTCCAAGGGAAGGCCTTTTTTCTCTGTTGGCTCCGGGGGAAGGTCCTTGTCATCAATCTTTCCCTGGTCTCGAAGCTTCTCAGCACAGGGAGCTCGGGTCCAAAGGACATGCTCCGCTCCTGGTGCTCCTTTCTTGGTGGTATGAGGTCCCTCTCCTCTCTGCTTGATTCTCTCTTTTAAATCTCAAAATAGATTGACTCAAGACACAGCGTAGTCCTGTAGATTGAGTCCTGCTTCATTAACCTAACTGCCTCTAATCCTGCCTTATTAACACAGAGGTTAGGATTTATAACACATAGGATAATCACATCAGATCACAAAATGGTAGACAACCATACAATACTGGGAATCATGGCCTAGCCAAGTTGACATTCATTTTTGGGGACACAATTCAATTCATAACATTCCACCCTTTGTTGTTGTTGTTGTAAGGTGCCATTGAATCAGTTCTGGCTCATAGCGACGCTGTGTACAACACAATGAAACACTGCCAGGTCTTGTGCCATCCTCACAATTCTTATGCTTGAGCCCGTTGTTGCAGCCACTGTGTCAATCCATCTTGTTGAGAGTCTTCCTCTTTTTCGCTGATCCTCTACTTTACGAAGTATAATGTCCTTCTTTTCCGGGGACTGATCCCTTCTAATAACATGTCCAAAGTATGTAAGACTTAGTCTTGCCATCCTTGCTTCTAAGTAGCCTTCTGGTTGTACTTCTTCCAAGACACATTTGTTTGTTCTTTTGGCAGTCCATGGTATATTCAATATTCTTCGCCAACACCACAATTCAAAGGCATTAGTTCTTCTTCAGTCTTCCTTATTCATTGTCCAGCTTTCATATGCATATGAGGCGATTGAAAACACCATGGCTTGGGTCAGGCGCATGTTAGTCTTCAAGGTGACATCTTTGCTTTTCAACACTTTAACACTTTAAAGAGGTCTTTTGCAGCAGATTTGCCCAGTGCAATGCGTGTTTTGATTTCTTGACTGCTGCTTCCATGGGTGTTGATTGTGGACTCAAGTAAAATGAAATCCTTGACAACTTCAATCTTTTCTCTGTTTTTTCACCACCTCCCCCCCAAAAAAAAAATTCATGCCCTTGCCACATGTAAAACACATTCACCCCATCACATCATCCCAAAAGTCTTAAATCAACTCTTCAGTGCAAATTCCATCCTGGGACAAAATTCCTCATCATCTGTGAAATCTAGAATAACAAGTTATCTGCTTCCAAAGTACAAATGGTGAAACAGGCACAAGGTAGACATTTCCATTATGAATGGGAGAAATTGGAGGGGAAAAAGGGATAACAGGCACCAAGCAAGTCAGCAGAACACATTACATTAGCTCTCAGGTCTTGAAAATAATCCTCTGTTTTCTGAGACCATTTAGGCAATGGCCCTGCCCTCCAGACTCTGGGTGTTGGCCATACTGTTTGGATTTTGGGTGGAGGCCCCTCAGCCCTGGGCTTCAACTCTGCCTTCCAGGCCCACTGGGACTACAACTCTGCTCCCTTGGATTTGGGCAGCCCCATTCTCCTAGTCCATCTGAGTGGTGACCCTACCTTGGCCCCAGCAGGCCCCATTCGTCTGCTCCTTGGGCGTGGCAGCCCCACCCCCTCAGCTTTGGGCAGTGGATCTGACCCCATCCCACTGGCACTCATGAAAGGCAGCCCTACACTGTGGAACCAAGTTGGTGAAGATAATGACTCTTTGAAACCTAGGCGGCTGTGGCCCCACCCTTTGAGGCTGAGGCATCTATGATTCCTGTGTTCCTTGGTTCTTCAGCTTCTGCTTCCTGGTTCCTTGGCCTCTCCACCCCTTGGGCCCTTGGGCCAGCAGGCATCTGCCCTGCTTGGGCAAGTGTTCCAAAGCTCTTTAGCTCCACCAATAAGTGTCTGGAGGCACCCCACTCCACCAGGAAGCCTCCTGTGCAAAGGCACTCAGCTCTGTTGCTCTGTGAGTTGGCTCCAGGGCTGTGTCACACTGGTCTCTTGGTTCTGCTGCTGCTGTTTCTTTGCTGCTGCTTCTCGCTATCTGCGATGTCTCCAGTGTAACAGCTCTCGTCACTTTCTTCTGAGCCCTCACCAGAATTGTCTTTCATGTCCATAATTCTACCAACAGTCTCTTCAAGGCAATTTGGCTTTTACTATAGGCACTTTAGAACTCTTCCAGCCTGTACCTATCACTCAGTTCCAAAACTGCTTCTACATTGTAGGTATCTGTTAGAGCAGCACCCTACTCCCAGTGCCAAATTCTTACTCATCTAGTGCTGTTACAACAGAAATACCACAAGTGAATGGCTTTAACAAACAAATATATTCTCTCACAGGCTAGGAGGCTAGAAGTCTGAATTCAGGATGCCAGCTCCTGAGGAAGGCTTTCTCTTTCTGTCGGCTCTGGAGTAAGGTCCTTATCATCAGTCTATGCCTGGTCTAGGAGATTCTCAGTGCAGGGACACTGGGCCCAAAGAATGCACTCCGCTCCTGGAGCTTCTTTCTTGGTAGAATGAGGTCCCTCTCCTCTTTTAAATCTCAAAATAGATTTACTCAAGATACAACATAGTCCTGTAGATTGAGTCCTGGTTCATTAACATAACTGCCTCTAATCCTGCCTCATTAACCTCGTAGAGGTTAGTATTTACAGCACGTAGGATACTCGCATCGGATCACAGAATGGTAGCCAACCATACAATACTGGGAATCATGGCATAGCCAAAGTTGACACACAATTTTGGGGGGACGCAATTCAATCGATAACATGTGTGAACCTCAGAGTGGACGCTTAGAGCTCTTGGCGCTGATGCAGGTTAGGGCAGGAGGGCTGCTGAAGGTACTCAGGGTCTCACTCCTGGTTGGGATATAGCTGTAAAAGAATGAGAAACTATTGTGCGTGCAAATGCACCTAGAGTCAAAGAGAGACTTGATCAGTGTCCACTGGCCCAGGATGGGGTGCTGAGAAGGCCAGCCTTGAGGTACCTGGAACCTGAATCCTGCCACCTCCTTTCCTTGCCAGAGCCTGTGGTCCTCCTGTAAGAATGGTGGGGCGCTGACCTCCTGCTTTCCCACCTTGCGCCCACCCTCTGTGTTATCCTTAGGTGGTCGGGGTGGCTCAGAAGTGTGCATACACTCTTGTGAGGTCTGGTTCTGCTCCCTGGGGATGCCTGGGGCTTGGTGAGTGAGCATGCAGCCTTGGGGTGTGGATGACTGGCCCGCGTGACCTAATGGGACTAAGAGAGGAAGTAAAAGTGACAAAGTACGTATTTGGGTGTTGGGACTTGGCCATTTGAGAAAATCCTGATTAAAGCACATAAGTGAGTTTAAAAAGGGCCTGGCTACTTATTTGACATTTAGAACACAGCTTGTGTGCAGTCAGTCAGTGGCTATTTTTCATTCAAAGTGAGAACACTTCTGAGAGGGCCTTCTTCGTATCCACAGAAACCCAGCTGGGAATCAGGCTTCCCTGGGGCCGGGGGGACCCCCCGGCCATGCAGCACTCTGAGCGCACCTCGCAGCCTCTGTGTGACAGGCACTGCCAGCTCTCCTGCACTGCGGAGTGGCCGTCATGGTTTCTGTCTGTGGCTGCACTAACGAGTGCCACTCTGGGCGTCTCTGTTGTCACTTGGGAAAGCCTGGTCACATCATGGCAGTGAAGAGGAGTTTTCTTTAATCATTTAATTATTTCTTTTGTCAGTTGGAAATTGCTTGTGTTTTTGTGTTTATCACCATCAGTCTGTCTTCCTTTCTTTTATTATTTCTTTGATTTTGGTCTCAAAGAATAATCTCTCAACTATTGCTTTATCTAAGGCCCACACTGGAGAAAAGACTGGGAATATACCTCATAACTGGTAAAATGAAGTGGTCCACCTTTGCCCTTAGCAGATGGTCGTACTGAATAGAAAAAGTGGAATTAAATAACCAGGGAGAAGCCATGGCAAGGAGGCACTTGCGTGCCCGATAAAACATGAGCGACGGGGTAGGTGATCACGAAGGACCAGCAGGGTGTGGACGTGCCTTTATGCAAAACTAGAGAGGATAGTCCATATGCTGTCAGTATGAATATATGAACACGCATGTGCCTACCCAGTTTCTTTTAGTTTTCTTTCTTCTATACACCCCTCCTCTGAGACTTCTGGAAGCAGATCCCAAACATTATCTCAGTAATTCACCTGTGGTCTCGTTGTGAGGTTCACCCAGCTCACTGCCAGGTGGGATGTCCATTATGTCTTATGATCTTTGTCTCTAGACATGCCTCCCTTGTGCCCATGTGGTAGAGTTGCCTGGATGAAAATGCTATTTCCAAATATGTGAAAAACAGGGGTGTTCATTCACTTCAGCATCATGCAAGTATTCGGGAGAATAATGAGGAATATAAGATGTCTCCTGCCAGATAGTATTTTTAAAACATGGGTATCTTTTGGATTAGTGTTACAGATAATGATGAAGATTAATCTTTAATATTTTATTACTTACAGGGAAGGGGTGATGCTATTGGGGAAGATGTGCAAACACCAGGAAGACAGAGAAATATAGGAGAACTGAAAAGGTTAGAGATACAAGAATGGAATGAAAGTTCCAGTCCCTAGGGAAGTTGTAGGCAGCTTGGAGAAGGCATAGTTCTGCAGGAGTGACCAGGCCGAGGGGACCAGGACTGGCATGTGGTGGTCAAAGTGTGACCTGAGCTCCAAGAAATGCTTCCAGTTTAGCTGTGGACCTGAAAACAGATGGACAGTTCCATTTCCACGATATAGAATGGTTTTCCACTTATTAAAGTTGATGCAGTGGGAATGAGCTGAACTCTGCTGTCCACCTTTGTTCTCAAGGGGGGTTGTGTGAGGACAGTCTCAGACTCCTACAGGGAAGTGCATTTCTGAACTACTCAGAAGCATCACTAAAAATGATTTCACTTCTGATGCAAGCTCAGGATGGACCACTGAGGAGTGCAGGAGTGGTGTTACCTGCTGGATTCCTGACTTTCATGTCCACACTAGGACAGAAAACATATGGAAATAAGTCCCAGATTTACTCCTGGCTGGGCAAGAGCCCAATTTCCCAGTCCAGAGCTTTCTAGTAAAAGAGGAATTGACTTCAGCAGGGAGGCTGGGTGAGCCCTGTTGTTCCTGCTGCAGTCCTTTGGAATCAAGATCTGTTGCAAAGATGGGGGGCTAGAGGTGAGCATGAGAGCTGTGCTGATAGGAGGCTCTGGTCTTTCCTGATGCACTTTCATGTGGGTGTGGCACCAAGCACGGGGCAGGTGGGCAGCTTGGGCTGTGTTATGGCCTGCAGAAACACAACCTGTGTATGTGTGCCAATCCAGGTAGGGAGCAGCTCCCCATGTCTGAGTGTGTGGGTGCAGGAAATGTAGAGAAGCACCAGCTGATCAAGAAAAAGACAGATGGCTTCACTCTGCGAGGCAGGTCTGTGTGAACATTGCACCCTTTGGTCCCCAGAAATTCATGTCCTTGCCACATGCAAAACACATTCATCCCATCACATCATCCCAAAAGTCTTAAATCAAGTCCAAGTCCAAAATCTCATCTTCTGAATCATCAAAATCAAACATGAGTGAAACTTTAGGTGTATTCCATCCTGGGGCAAAATTTCTCTTCATCTGTGAACCTGTGAAATCTAGAGTGCAAGTCATCTGCTTCCAGAGTACAATGGTAGAACAGGCATAAGGTAGACATTTCCATTACAAATGTGAGAAATTGGAAGGGAAGAAGGGATAATGGGCACCAAGCAAGTCCACAACCTAGCAGAACAATTTACATTAGCTCTCAAGACTTGAAAATAATCCTTTGTTCTCTGAGATCATCTAGGCAATGGCCCTCCAGACTCTGGGTGTTGGCCAAGCTCTTTGGACTGGATGGAGACCTCTCAGCCCTGGGCTTCAGCTCTGCCTTCCAGGCTCACTGGGATGGCAACTCGGCTCCCTTGGCTTTGGGTGGACCCATTCTTCTAGCTCATCTGAGTGGCGACCCTATCCCCTCAGCCCCAGCAGGCCCCGTTCTTCTGCCCCTTGCACATGGCAGCCCCACCCCCTCAGCTTTGGGTGGTGGCCTCATCCCCCCTGGCACGCCTTAACAGCAGCTCCACACTCCAGAACCAAGTTGGTGAAGATCTGACTCTTCGAAATTTAGGAGGCTGTGGTTCCACCCTTTCAGATCCAGAAGACCATGGCCCCACCCTTTGAAACTGAGAAGGCCCTGCTGCTTGTGCTCCTTCCAACAGTTCTGTTGATCTCCGAGCTGCTCCAGGGATGGTTCTTTTCTTGGAGAATAACAGATGTAGCTCCTTTGGTCTGTTCCTTCTTGTAGAATTCCAAGAGGCAGACACGTTCTTTCCTTTCATTCTTTCTCTGTCCCCTTCAGTCTAAGCTGATGGGTCTTCTGCTGTAGTAGTTGGTTAGATGCATCAGTCACAGGCTTAATCTCTTTTACAAAAGATGGTGTAGCCACATCCTTGGTGAACATTCTAGGACATGTGTCTTTAGTTTGTACTGAATTTTCCGAATCTTTAAGTTCTGTTTTCATTTTGCACTGTTCATTTTTAAGTCCATCTCTTTCCTCTTGTATTTTACTATAAGCAGCAAGGAGAAATCACGTGGTCCCTTTAAGATCTTGCTTAGAAGTCTCATCAGCCAGATATCCAAGTTCATTACTTACAAGTTCTACCTTCCACCAAACATTTGAATGTAATTCAGACACATTCTTTGCCACTGCATAAAAAGCATCATCGTCCTTCCTCCATTGTCCAACACATGTTCATCATTTTCTTTTAAAGCCTCACCAGAAGTACATTTAACGTCCACATTCCTAGCAACATTCTGTTGCTGGCACCATATGTAATCTCTAAAGACTTTCTCTGTAGCTTCCTTACTTCCTTCAGAGCCCTCACCAGAATTGCCTTTGACATCCATAATTCTACCAACAGTCTCTGCCAGCCTCTATCCATTACTCAATTCCAAAACTGCTTCCACATTTTAGGTACCTGTTAGAGCAGCACCCCACTCCTGGTACCAAATTCTGTCTTAGCTATTTAGTGCTACTACAACAGAAATACCAGTGGATGGATGGCTTTAACAAATTTATTTTCTCGCAGTTTAGGAGGCTAGAAGTTCGAATTCAGAGTGCCAGCTTTAGGGGAAGATTTTTTCTCTCTGTTGGCTCTGATGGAAGTTCCTTGTCTCTTTGGCTTTTGCTTCCTGGTTCCTTGGAGATCTCCATTTGTCTTGGCATCTGTCTTACCCCATCTCTGCTTCTTTAGCTTCCTTTTTTATATCTGAGAAGAAATTGACTTACGACACACCCTACACTAATCCTGTCTCGTTGATATAACAAAGACAACCCGTTCCCAAATGGGATTATAAGCACAAGCAAGAGGTTAGGATTTACAACACGTATTTTGGGGTACACAATTGGATCCATAACGAGGCCCAAACTGTTTGTTCCACTCCAGACTCGGCCTCTTGTTTTTTATATGACCTCGGGATAGGTGGGTTTGTTTCCCAGTCAGTAAAACATGCGTGTGAGGAGGGGTGTGTGTGACCTAGATGGTCTTAGGGATGAAGGCTTCTATGAAAACTTTGACTTAAAAACACTGGAAGTACATTGTATGATGCTTGGTTGAAAAGGATGAGTAGAAACACTTGGGCTTGGTCAGAGGCCTCAGGGCCTTGGGATACTGCCTGGCCTCGCCTATTCCAGTCTGCTCCTGGGGCCTGGCCAGCAGCTGGGTCCGTGGGCCTCACCTCTTCCTGTCAGATGCCTGTCAGGAAGAGCTTCTCACAGTGGGTGGAGGGACGCCTGCGTCGAAGCCCCCAAGTGTGGGTGCTGGGCTTGCCAGCCGGTTAACCTCTGCAGTGTGAGGGTGGAATCGGCTGCTGCTGGTCGTTTGTTTTGACACTCTCCTTAAGTTACTGCTGAGTTAAGAATCACTGCTGCTTTGAAGTGTTCATTTGAACTTGTCTGTGGTTACTAAGATTTGAATATGTGATTGTTAATCCTCCCTCAAATGAGGCTTCTGTACGTAACAATAGAGCGTAAAAAGATCAGCTAGGAATGGCGCAAATGTAGCATTTGCTTCGGAATCTAAAATACTTAATAGAGATTGAATATGCAGTGGGTTATGGCTCTAGTTTTTTTTTTTAAACTGATAAAGCTGTATGACTTTTGTGTCAGGGATCCATGGGGAAGGGTCCACCTTCAGTACACTGTACGGCCTCTTCCTATGGGATGTCATCTTCATGAATGGGATTCCGGATGTCTTCAGGAACGCCTACCAGGTATCTCAGTAGTGCCACTTCCCGGTAGGCGGGACAAGTGCCACTTCCCGGTAGGCGGGCTCCGCACACGCTCGTATTGAAGCTGCCGTGTGTGTGTGTCTGTGTCTGTGTCTGTGTGTCTGTGTGTCTGTGTCTGTGTGTCTGTGTCTGTGTCTGACAGGCTAGAAACGTGCCTGTCTGCTGAGCCTGCGGGTTCTGCTTCTTCCACTGTGAGAATGCCCTTTCATTTAAAAATCTGATTAATGGAATTTCAGATGTAAGCATATTAAGTTAAACTTTAAGTCTAATTGACCTTCAACATTAGATTTTACACATTTAGTATAAAGTCAATTCGGCGTCAGCATTTCTGAGCCCCTACTATGTCCCAGGTTCTGTTCTGGCACTTTCACATACATTGTCAGACATGCCCACTCTGCGTCCTGCTGATTTAATCTCAAAGCTCTGTCTGCATAGTATTCAAAAAAACAAGCGTAGTAAGTTGCTTTTATATCAGATTACTTGTATCAGGTAATTTTTGACCTGTGTTTTGAGGAAAAGTTCAGTGAATGTGTCAGTTAAATTGTCCAGTTTCCAAATTTTGTAGGCATTGAATATTCCTAATGAATCCACTTCTACCCAGGCACAGTTTGAGAGCTTGTTTTCCCTGTGACACAGGCCTTCCCCCTGGACTTGTATACAGACAGCTTCTTTGCAAGCAGAAAAACGGCCATCGAGGCCAGGCTGCAGCTCATCCATGCTGCCCCTGCCGAGACCCTGCGCGCCTGGCTGGCAGCTGCGTGGCAGGCTCAGGAAGGCAGACTGGCTTCCATAGTCAGCTGGGACCGCTTTGCTTCTCTTCAGCAGGCTCAGGTAATGGCAGCTGTTCCCTGCATGGCCACATTTGGTCAGAAAGTAATGCTTTTGAAGTGCTGCTGGGTGTCTTTATGGCAACTGTCTCAAAATATCACATGTGCACACACACAGACTTACACACGTTTGTATGTGTGTGTATATCCGTGTGTGTGTGTGTATGATACCTCCCTTCTCCCATCCCCCACCCTCCTTCTCCAGCCCAGATGCCACTGTCGTTGGTGGGAACATGTTAGGGCACAAAGGAACCCCAGTTATGACTTTCCCATCCCTGGGGTAACAGCTTTGCTTTGCCTCTCCTGGGCCCCTCTGACTGCTGGGCCTGTGTGAGTTGTCACTGTGCAAGTCCGGAGTGCTCCCTCCAGACCTCCCCTCCTCAGGACCTCTCAGGATTCTGCAGTCTGGGCGGAGGCAGGCAGGTGACCAAAGGAAAACTTCCAGAGTTTGCCAGTGAGAATTTTAGTTCCAGCGAAGAACCAAGACAGCCTCGGGTTTACTGGGAACACATTTTTGCTTTCTTTCCACTGAGTTTTAACCTGTCTCGTGGTGTCTGGGATGTACCTCAGGGTCTCTGTAACAAGGGACGTGGCTAACTGTCCGTGTGTTCTGTGTTCAGGATCTCGTCTCCTGCTTGGGCGGCCGTGTCCTCAGCGGAGTGTGCAGGCGCCTGGCTGCTGACTTCCGACACTGCCGAGGCGGCCTCCCCGACCTGGTGGTGTGGAGCTCCCAGAATCATCGCATTAAGGTCAGTTTAGCCAGAATGGAAAGTCGTATTTGTGATTTTATTAAGAACCTAATCAGAGGCCACAGAGTAGGCATTTCATGTGTGGCTGTTGGCGAGATTCAATTCCTTGTGAGCTATTGGGCTGAGGGCCTCACTGTTTGCAGGCTGTGGGCTGGAGGCCACTCTCAGCTCCTTGCCCTGTGGGCCCCTCACAGCGTGACAGCTCACAGCCTGGCAGCTTGTTTGATCGGGACAGGCATGTGAGAAGAGCCAGAGGGTGTGGGTGAGAGAGAAGTCACTGTTTTTGGTAACCTGATCTCAGAAGACACATCCAGCACTTCCGTTTGTTGGAAGCAAGTCACTGGGTCCAGCCTACAGTCAGAGGGAGGGGATTCCATAGGCCTTGAGTGTGAGCAGGCGGGGATCATTGGGAGCCCCTTTAGAAGCTGCCTCTCAGGACCAGGCTAGGCTGAGGCATGAGAGGCATGGGGCCCTGGGTGAGCACCTTCTTCAAGGTGGGGCCCAAGCGCCTCCCTTGCCTCACCTTCGTCCCCACTCTGCTGCTTATCACAGGTTGTTTGTTTGCTTACTGAGTTTTGAGAGTTTTTTTCTTTCTTTTTTAAAAAATATATTCTGGACATGAGACCTTTTATCACATGTGTGATTTGCTAATATTTCATCCCAGTCTGTGGCTTGTCTTTTTATTCTCTTAATAGTGTCTTCTGAACAGTAGAAGTTCTACAGTTTGACAGAGTCTAACTCACCTCTTCTTTTATGGATCCTGCTTTTGGTGTCGCGTGTCAGGAGCACTTGTCTGACCCGAGGTCACAGTCTCACCTGTGTTTCCCTCTAGAAGTTGTAGTTTTACATTTAGTTCTCTGATCCATTTTGAGATAATTCTTGTATTCAGCATGAGGCATGGCTAAAGTTTCTTTTTTTTTTTTGCATATGGGTGTCCAGTTGTTCCAGCAGCATTTGTTGAAAACACTGTCCTTCCTCCACTGAATTGCCTTCCTTTGCATCTTTGTCAAAAATCCTTGTTGCATCTGTGTGTCCACCACTCGTCTGTCAGTGTGTCATACTGTGGTGACTTGCATGTTGCTGTGATACTGGAAGCTTTGCCATCGGTATTTTGAATACCAGCAGGGTCACCCTTGGTAGACAGGTTTCAGCAGAGCTTCCAGACTCAGAAAGAAGAAGGACCTGGCAGTCTGAAACAATTGACCAGTGAACACCTTAGGAATAGCAGTGGAACAGTGTCTGATATAGTGCTGGACCAGGCAGTGTTTCGTTCTGTTGTACATAGGGTCGCTATGATTGGAACTGACTCTGCAGCACCTAACAACAGCAGCAACACGTATGTGTGGGTCTATTTCTGGACCCTCTGTTCTGTTCTGTGGATTTATTTGTCTCTGTTACTTGATTACTGTGGCTTTTTATGTCTTGTAGTAGGATAGTGTAAGTCCTCCACCTTTGCTCTTCTTTTCCAAAGTTGGTTTGGCTGTTCTGTGGCCTTTGCAGTTTTATTTGAATTGTAAAATCAGCTTTCAATTTCTAAAAATAAAAGCCTGCTTGCTTGGATTTTTTATTGGGATTGCTTTGAATCTGGAGATCAGTTTGGTGAGAATTGCTATCTTAAGAATATTACATTGTTTATCAGTGAGCATGATACATCCTTTTCAGGTTCTCTAATTTCTCTCCGCAGTGTTACCACTTTTTCGTGTGTAGGTCTTGGATATCTTTTGTCAGATGATCCCTAAGTATTTAATAGTTTTGATGCTATTTAAGTGGTATCGTTTTTGTACATTTCAATTGCCAATTGTTTGCTGCTGCTACATAGAAATACAATTGATTCTTGCATATCGATGTTGTATTCTACAAACTTGATACACTCATAGTTCTAGAAGCATTTTTATATATACCTCATCGGATTTTCTACATAGACAGTCAGGTTATCTGCTAATAAAGACAGTTTTACTTCTTTTCCAATCTTGATGCCTTTGTTTTCTTTTTCTTGCTTGATTGCATTGGCTAGAACCTGCAGTAAAAAATGTAAGTAGTAAGTAAAAAGTAAAATAAGAGGTGAGAGTGGAAATCCTGTCTTTGTTCCTAATCTTAGGGGGAATACATTTAGTCCTTCACTTTTGAGTATCATGTTAGATGTAGGTATTTCATAGATACCTTTATCAGACTGAAGAATTTCCCTTATGTCCAAGCTTTCTGAAAGTTTTTATCAAATATGTTGGATTTTGTCAAATGCTTTTTCGGTATCTATTAACATGTGATTTTTCTCTTTAGTCTGTTAACGTGAATTACATTGATTGGTTTTTGAATGTTAAACCTACCTTGCATTTCTCAAATAAACTTTGGAGGGTTGTGATGTATTATCCTTTTTGTGTAAAGTTGGATTTGCTCTTGTAAAATGTTAAGAATTTTTGCATGTATGTTTATGGGAGATATTGATCTGTAGTTTCCTTGTAATTTTTTTTTTGGGTTTTAGTTTCATAGTAATGCTGACCTCATTGAATGGGATGGGAAGTATTCCTTCCTTTTCAGATTTATGAAAGAGTTTGTCTAGAATTAGTATTATACCCAAAATCTTTGGTAGAATTTACCAGTGAAGCCATATGGGCCTAGAGTTTTCCTTGTGGGAAGGTTTAAAACTATAAATTCAGTTTCTTTAATCATATAGGACTTTTCATGTTATCTGTTCCTTCTTGATTTGTGCTCTGGTGTGTCTTTCAAGGAATTTGTCCATTTCATCCAAGTTGTTGAATTTATTGGCATAACGTCGTTCCTATTTCTCGCTTATCATCATTTCTATATAGAATCTATATTTCTACTACCTTCTTATTCCTGATATTGATAATTTTTGTTTTTTACTTTTAACCTATTTGTGTCTTTATATTTAATGTGGGTTTCTTGTAGGCAGAATATAGTTTAGGTCTTTCTTTTTAATTAAATTTGACAACCTCTGCCTTTTAAGAGGGATATTTGGAACATTTACACTTACACTGTGATTAGTGACATGTTCAACTTCAAACGTACCATCTCGGTAACTTGTTTTCTGTTTGTCTTAGCTTTCCTTTGTTCTTTTTCTTTTTTTGGAATTTTTTTTATGATTGCATTTTATCCCTTTGATGGCTTGTTAGCTGTAATTTTTTTTTTTTTTTAGTGGTTACATTAGTGTTATAAACTTATATCTTCAAGTAATAGTCTGCTACTTCATGTATAGTATAAAGAACCTTTTAACAGTATACTTTCATATCTAATATCTGTGCTATTGTTTTCATACATTTTACTTCTCTGTGTATTATAAATTCTGCATTATTTTTGCCATATGCAGTTGATTCATAAGAAAAAGAATCTTTATGTTGCTTATGTAGCTGCCGACTCCAGTGCTGTATCTCTTTGTGAAGCCAGATTTCCATGTGGTGTCATCCTCCTTCTGCTTGAATAATTTCCTGTGACCTTTCTTGAAGAGCTGCTAGTGACGAATTCATTCAGGTTTTGTATGTCTTAAAAAGTCTGTTTCACCTTTGTTTTTGAGAGGTATTTTCTCTGGGTAAAGAACTCTATGTTGACAGTTTTTTTCTTTCAGTACTTATAACGTGTTGGACCACTGTCTTATAGCTTGCATTGTTTCCAGTGGGAAATCTGCTTTTTTTCCTTTGGCTTTTTAAAATTCTGACTGCTCTTGAGATCTTTTTATCAATGGTTATGAATTTAATCACGATGTCCTCAGTGTGGTGTTCTTTGTTTCTGTGCCTCTTGGATCTTTGGTTTATAGTTTTCATCGAATTTGGAAAACTTTTGGCCATTACATCTTTAAATATTTTTCCTATCTCATTTGGGGACTCTAATCTAATTAAATCTACATCAGGCTGCTTAATGCTGTTTACTTAAGAAAATCTTTTTTAATATATCATTCTGGATAGTTTTTATTGCTGTGTCTTCAAGTTCAGTTAATATGCAGTAAACAGAACTGACGCTTCCTGCCTTCAGACAGCTGACATCTAATAAACAGTTTTATATTGTGACCAGTGCCATGAAGGAAGTGCACAGGAGAATCTGCTTGGAGACTGGGGGTCTGAGGTGACTGTACACAGAGCACTGGAGGATAGGGAGAAAGGCACGTGAACACCCGGGAGACGTGTCCCCACGGGGCTTAGGGACAGCAGGTATAAAGGAGGGCCCTGAGTGGGACAGCGTCTGTTCCAGGAACTGAGAGGAGGCATTTGGAGTAGTTGACAGGTTCCCAAACATACAGTTTTATAGGTTATTGTGGAGAAGTTTGGATTTAATTGCAAATGTAACAGAAAGTAATAGAAGGGTTTTAAGCAGTGAAACAATCCACTCCATGCTTTAAAAGTTTTTCAATTGCTATACTAAAAATCCATTTACTGATTTTCTGTGAAGGACTGTCTAGTATCTAGAGTAGAAAAATTTCTCAAGGAATTTTATGTGTGTATATATATATATAAATATATATATAAGGAGCCTTGGTGGCACAGTGGTTAAGTGCTCGGCTGCTAACCGAAAGGAGAAAAGACCTGGTGATCTGCTCCTGCAAAGATTACAGCCTCAGAAACCCTATGAGGCAGTTCTCGTTCACGTAGGGTTGCTGAGTCAGAATCGACTCAATGGCACACAGTATGTATATAGTTGTATAGTAGAATAAGCCATTTAAATAGTTATTAGTGAAAACTACAATCGCTTATTTGAATGGCTATTCAGTTTCCATAGATACTAATCATTTTTAAAACTTATCTTCCAGCTGGTAGAAGTTAAAGGCCCCAATGATCGCCTCTCGCAAAAGCAAATGATCTGGTTGGATGAACTGCAGAAGCTGGGAGCTGAGGTAGAAGTCTGCCATGTGGTTGCCGTTGGAGCCAAGAGTAAAGGCCTCAGTTAAGAGCGACGGAATTAGGAGTATTTGGTCATGGCTTGACATAAGATTTTCAAAAGCAAAGCGTTATTACATTTTATTTAATGTTAGTTTTGTTACTGTCAATTATAAACCTGATGGTTTAATCACTCATCATTGTACAGTGTCTGTGTATCACAAAACGGTGTTTGCTTGAATATACTTATCCCACACAGTAGGTAATGAATTTTTAAAAGGTCAGGATATTAGTGGCCATTTTTGGAGCTGGATGCATACTATACTAGACTTAGAAAAAAGCAGGAAAAAACCCACAAGAAATGATTAACAGCTCTACAATGCTTCTTTCTGATAAGTTTACTGCAAATGGAGATTCCTGAAATTATCTCTTTTTTTTGTGCACTGTTTTACACATTCAGCTGTTAAACATTCTTGTTTTATGATTATCCAAGAAGGATATCAACAATTGAAACTCCAATTTCTTTAGCAATTGTCCCTTCTGCTTTTTTTAGGAACATCCTTAATGGCTAGCTTGGGGGTGCTGTATATAGAGACGACAGCATAATGAAAACAGGGCTGCTTGGCTATTTGTCTCATTAGCAAACCTTAGGCTGGGGAAGGGATATGGCAGGAAGGCAGTTATCAGACAGAATGCCAGGCCCAGGATCATAGTCTCCCATAGACTTGTCCTGAGGTCTTCTGGGGAAATATGATGCCCCAGTTTAACTGAATGGAAGGACCAGTTAAGGCATGGCCCATTAACACCCACATGGTTTTAATTACAGCCAGCACTAAACTGACGTTAGGAACATGATTGATTGCTACCTCATTTTAGAGAATGGATGGCACACACAAGTATAACAAAAAACCAAACTCGTTACTGTCAATTCCGACTCAGCGACCCTATAGGACAGGGTAGAACTGTCCCATAGGGTTTCTAAGGAGCAGGCGGTGGATTCGAACATGCCAACCTTTTGGTTAGCAGCTGAGCTCTTAGCCACTGTGCCTCCAAGGCTCCACACACAAGTGGATGGAAGAAATAGCCTTTGAATCTTGAATCACTGTATCCTTGTGGATGACTGCATAATAACTACAAAACAGACAATTTCTGTGGAACTTTTATTTTGCAGTCAAAATTGCCTTCACATTCATCACTGCTGAACAAGATCTTTCATCTTCCCACTCATCCTACTTTAACTCAAGTCACAATCAGTTTTAGGCACAAAGGTTTTAGTTTTCTCTCAAAATCAAGTTTTAACTATTTGAGGTTACTGCTACAGCAAGCAGATTTTGTGAAAGGATGTGCTGAATAGTTTTCACTCTGTTAGTACAAATATCTTTTCTTTAAATAAAGTTAGACATTTTAGACATTTTTGGTTTTAAAATTGATTTCCATCAAAAGATAACAGTGATACATGGTACATTTAAGTTCAACCCTAGCCAGTCCAAGGCTGGCTGCCTGCGCGTGTGGCCCGTCAGCAGGGGCTTTGCTCACAGGCAAGCCGTGCAGGGCTGAGTGCGTGGCTCTTTGGTATGCTGCACGTCACCACACTCAGGACTGCTGCTGCCACAATGTCCCGCGTGCCAGCAGAGGCGCTACGCAGCCGTACAATGTCCCGCGTGCCAGCAG